TCTTTCCTTAGAATTCAGTGGATTTTGACGACTTATATAAAGTAAGGACCATCGCGATGTCGGAAAAAAATATTTAGTGATCTACTTCCAGATGATAAAATTCCTAGAGATTGATAGTATCGTAAAAGTAGATTGGATAATACAAGGGCACTATATCTGATTCATTCGTCGAATAATCTTGTTTCGGAAGCTCAATGCATACGTGACGTCCACAAATTTGTTTGCACCGAATATTTATCAGACCAATGAAATTATTTTTAAGCCAGAGCTGGACGATTAAAGCTATGCACAGCTCTATTGAGGCAATTGTGGGAGGCGGAGGTTCATCCAATCGTATCTAATCTTCGATTGATGACGTTATTCATTCGGCCACCGAGACTTTTTACCCACAATTTATTTCCAACAGTTTACAGTCTTATCCGCGGCTTCATCGAAAACTATCGTTTCTACGTGTACGAGCAAAGCTGTTGAAAAATGTCTACGCTCATTAGTACGACCCGTGCTTGGGAAATAATTAATCATATACTCTGTGTGTAATGTCGCGAAGACCCGTACAATCACTCATTCGCTACACTCGCATCCTGACTATCAGCAAAAAAAGCAGCCACGAGCGATACCTCAAATTACACACGCGTCCAATCATATACTCCTTTTCCTCGACTGTATACGGTATAATAACCGTACCTATCAGTCTAAAAGAGCAACCAGCCAGCCATCATCAAGCAACCCTTCGCTCCGAAAAAGAGGTCAGCACATACACGTGCAGCACGTATCCTCAAAACACGCATACTCACTTGAAGGAAAAAGGGACTGGTTGACGCGTGTAACACGCAAGTATAAGTCTGCCACACCCATCCAGGTTTTGTGTGGCTTATCAAATAATTTGATGACGTGCACGCCGGAGGAGGGGAAACGCCGTTGTGGTTTATACCACTTGTACAGGCGAGTCATCAGGGAATATGAATCCTATGACTGGGCTCGTGGGCAAACGAGGGACATAGTTATGGTGGGCCAAGTAAGTTTTAAGACTTTGAGTTTACCGAGTAACCAAGTTTTTTTTTTTTTTCCATCATTGTGAAATTATCGGAAATCGATTTATACAGGTTTTCCAACTCTGCGAAGGAGCTAAAGGAAATCAAGGAGTGTGCCTAGTGAATTAGGCTGCCCTGAAAAAGTTTGATAATGGCTTGAGAAGCCGATTTTTTTCTCTCCATTTTTCGAGATTAAAGGGAAATGTCGCTTGATTAAAGAATTTTTCTTGTTCCGTCTGGGTCGTGATTGGTCGTAATTCTTTCACAGCTTAGTGATTGGAATTTTTTTAAGCTAATGTCAAAAGCATCGTATTTAATGTAATCACTGTAGTCATTACTCCTTGTTGGACTGGACCAATTAATTTGTCATGTTCAAACTTTTTTAGCTGAAAACAGTTTGTTAAGGAATCACTTTTGGTAAATTTTTCATGCGAAAGTACATCAACTGATGAAACGCCATTGTACTTAGTTTGCTCAGTCAACTGTCCACACCCAACAGACCGGTCAACGTTACTGGTCGATCTCACTTCATAAAAAAATTTATCAGCTAAACTAGGCACACACAGTGTGTATCAAAAAAGTCCATGGAGTATCGATCGAAGTTAAAAAAAACCTCACGAAATAAATGTACAACTAAAAAGCTTCGAGTAAAATAATCAGTGGTGTCTATGTACGTCATAGTGTTTCTCGGTAACGCACTTTCTTTACTACTCAACTTAAATTTACACAAAGTTTGTTTATTTTCTGTAATGGTAAGGTTGATCATACCTATAGATAGTAATGAGTGGCGAAGGTAAATAGTACTAAAATATACAAATGTTCTTAGCAATTGTATTGAGCGTTTGAAAGTGAAACTTGCGTCAGCAGTATAGATTATTGCTCGAGAAATGCAGAAAAGTATACCAATGAATCAGTTATCGAAATAAATTAATCAGTTTTTTAGGGTTTTCTATCATTTTTAAACATATAAGTGACTTTTATAGAAGTACGCCAAAATCTACATAAATTAATTTAAAAAAAATTTTACTGCAGGAATAATTTTATGTTTATATAAAATCATGTGAAATTATTATTATTGCAATTTATGATCAAAAGATATTGTTTGGAAAAAACGTCCATCGGCGTGTGTATGTGTGTTGTAATCAATTATATTTTATGATTCTCCGAAATTTTTTTGTTTATTTAGAATTTAAAATTTGTTTACACCTCCTAACATCTGTTTAGAGATAAAAAAAAGTAGAAACTCCATGCTACATAATGTTTTTTTATTTTTTTGATTTTGCAAAAATGTTTTATAAAAAATATTATTTTCTTGCAGGTGTCATAAACAGATGATACAAAAAAAACCTCATCTAAAATAAATAAGAAATAATTTACTCTACATCCATAAAAATACTAATCATCATTACAAGAATTTGATGTCACGTAATACTGAAAGACCTTATTCATTTTGCCACTTGACCACATTCATAAAGTATTTGTCTCTTATGTACAATATTTTTCTATGTATATCAAAGTATTACATTTAAATATTTAAATATACAACTAATAGTATTACTGTCTTGATTTTCTATTCATAAAGTTGTAAAAAATAAATAATTTAAGTAACTGTAATAGTTATTTTATAACCAGTTTTGCAAGATTAAGATAATTTTGTGACTATAAATATAAATTTTTTCTTAAATTATTCACGTTGTTTCAATTGACACCCAAATAAATATCCCAAAACGCATCTAATTACGCGTCATAATCTTCAAAAATCACAAATAATCAAACCACATTGTTACATATTTTTCAAATCACAAAATATACCCAAATTCTTTTTTATTCTTCTGTAAAATTTTAGATCCAGCCCAAATTTTTTTTGTTTAAAACGTGTCAAGCGATACGTACATTTTCTAGCAGGAGCGTTAACTACGTGTGGTTTGGGAAACCGGTGAGCGAAGAAGAGAGCATCATCATCATCAGTGCCCTATAGCGGTTTCACGCGCTCCCGGTGTGCGCTTCACGTGTTTCTATTTTCGCGATTCTTTGCTTATAAGCACGAGAATCATAAATATACGATCTACAGGGCCGTGGCTGAGAAGAAAAGCCGGGCCAACACACCGCACGCAATGCTACTCGGGTTCCTATCACTCGAGAGGCTCGTGAAAGCCCCCTTTTTTGTCTACGTATCCGAGTGGTATGCAAAAAATTTAATTATCAATACAGGAGTGAAAGTTGAGCTTGACCATATTTGTTTTTTATAATTTCACCACCAAACCATAAATTATGCTCTTGTAATGGTTATCACTACAGGTACGTTGGGAATTTTTTAAACAATGAAAGGAGTACCATACTGCAGAATTGGAATTAGTTGGGACTTAAAATTAGGTCAACGACGATTTAAGCAATGTTCTTATTAAAAGCTAATTGCTAAAATTTTTTGTCTATTTTTAACATCTGATTTACTACACACATATGCCTTAGACGATGCTAGTTTCGAAGTAATATCAGTTTAAATCTTCACAATTAACGCATAAGCATCAATAATGTGAGATGTATTCATTAAATAACAGTGACTGATTTTTTCTTTGTGCTAAAATGGGTTACAGAACTATATGCAAGGCAACATGACTAATCAGCTCGATGCCAAAGAGTCTACCTACTCCCGGCTCAGAAATATCTCGGGTTGCATGTGTCAAACGAAACGGGCTTCGTCTACGTGTGAGACCGTACTAAAAATAATTGAAAAGAAATAGTAAAATTGTGTGTCAAAGTCTAATATTTTCATTGACCAAGAGAACAAGAGAATTTAATCACAAAGTAAAATTATTGTCTGATACACATTTGTTAATACAATATAAATTACTATCACCTTATAACTTGAAAAAACAATTTTTAAAAACAACAACTACTATCAGCAAAAAAAGCAGCCACGAGCGATACCTCAAATTACACACGCGTCCAATCATATACTCCTTTTCCTCGACTGTATACGGTATAATAACCGTACCTATCAGTCTAAAAGAGCAACCAGCCAGCCATCATCAAGCAACCCTTCGCTCCGAAAAAGAGGTCAGCACATACACGTGCAGCACGTATCCTCAAAACACGCATACTCACTTGAAGGAAAAAGGGACTGGTTGACGCGTGTAACACGCAAGTATAAGTCTGCCACACCCATCCAGGTTTTGTGTGGCTTATCAAATAATTTGATGACGTGCACGCCGGAGGAGGGGAAACGCCGTTGTGGTTTATACCACTTGTACAGGCGAGTCATCAGGGAATATGAATCCTNTTTTACTTGTTGAACATTTAAGAAAAAAATTTTCACGATAACCCAATGCGAGGTCATACAAGGAGAAAAAAGGGTATGTGAAGTTCAAAATTAAAAAAATAAAATAAAAAAAGTTAAGAAGAAAATAGATTTTATTATTCGTATCGTCAAAATTGTTTGATCATGTACTTTATAACAAATTGTATTTTAACAGGTAAACTACCCCCTACTTGGTATTACGTAAATGTCTCAAGTATTAAATTAAAAAAGAATTAATTTCTATTATTCATTTAAAAATAAATGTTACTTGTTGCAAAGAGCCACAATAATCAAGCGGAAAATTGGAATCATCCCTAATATATTTTGATATGAATTTTAGCTTTCGTATACCCACTTCATTAGCATAAAAATAATCCAAAAACGGTATTTCGGCTCAAAAACCCCTCCTAGCTCGTACTCGAGTCACCTCGTTTATTTTTCACGATTAAACCCTCTCGATGTAAACATTTAGCTCCCCTCGCAAGAGAGACACTTCTGCCTAAATAAGGGGCTTCCGCGCACCATCTCCAGCCTAAACTCATCTCTTGAAAAACACAAAAGGGTAAAATGGCAGGGGGTAGATACTGCATCGTTACCTCCCCATCAGAGACGCTTTATTTACGGAAGCGCAAGGGAGGCGAGAGAAAAAAGAAAGGAAAAAGACAGCTCACCGCCTCGGCATCCTTAGCCCTGAACAGATGATAATAGTAGAGGCCCTCGTCCCCTTTGATCATGTAGAGGAAGGTGCCGTTGTTACGGTCTTGAGATGCGGGTGGCGCCGACTGAGGCTTTAGGGTGCTACGCAGAGGGTGCTTGAACAGCGGCTGGTCCTTGTTAGCTCCGTACGCCGTTACGTAGTTCGACGCCACCAGCAAATTCACCTGCGAACACAATACATCCAATAAGACCGTTGCTTTCCCGTAAATTATACATGTAAAATTTTTTTTTTTCGATCGAGATTGCGTTTGCCAGTCGCGAAAAAGAGTCCTTTGTTAATTTTTAGATGATTTAATTCGCATAACGTCAAACGTGTAGTCTTCGATTCATTGAGCGCACAAAAGAAAAATCCATAGTGTAGAAAAAGACTGTATCCAACAGCAGGACTCTGATGGAAATTTCCACGTCGGACACCGTACAACAAACGTACACATTATATATACTATTTATCAGCAAGTTTACATTCAAGTGGTATTACCATAGAAATCCCAGCTCAGGAGCGTTTTTGCGTGCCATAGGAAAAAAAAAGCGAAAACTCGTGCAGCTGCAAAGAGGCAATTACCCAGGGGCTGAAGAGCTCAATCAGTCAAGGCCGGAAAATCCGGCCTCCAGCGACCCATTTCGCGATGTGTGGCGCCCAGAGAGAAAGGGAGGCTCCCCCCTGTGTTTATACATGCAGGTATACAAATATAAACGAGCCTTCGTGTCGCGATATCTCCGCCAACCAGCCAGTTGGTCATATATTATAGAGTTATGGCAGTATAAAAAAAAAGAGGCAGCGCGTATTTGGACACCCTTTGCGCACGCGATGGAGGCGCTTTTTCGGTTGGGATGGAGAAAAAGGTCACTCTCTCTCTCTCTCTTGTGTAGAGTACTGTGCGAGTTTCTCCCCTTCTGCTTTTTTTTTTATATACCTACACTCGCTAGGAACAGTATGTAGGTACGTGATGGAAGAGTCATTTTTTTTTTTTCCTTCGCAATGGACCGGATTGTTTGGCAAACGGAAAGATTTAGAGCCGGCGATTCGCGAAAACTTCAGGATAAGCTGCAGAGGCAGCGCATTTATTTGCTCTGCTGTTGTTTCCCCTTTCCCGTTCGGTTCATCTACTTTATTCCTCGATTTTTGTGATGCTAATGTAAAAAGTTGAAACGAGACGGTGCACTTGGCAATTTACGAGCATTTTTCATCGATGGATACTCTTTTTCAGCTGTACTACCATTACTTTGTGAAAAAAAAAAAAAAAAAAAAAAAAAGAAAAGGAAAAACTTGTCAATAAAGAGTACCGTTCCTTCGATCGTACCACGAAAGCGCCATAAAATCTATTGAATCTATTGAGACCACGGCCAAAAGCAATTCCGTAAAAACCCGCGTCCTCGCTGGTGTCGGGAATCAACGTAATGCCAGACACGAAAAATAAATATTAACTTTTCCGAGACGTAGTGAAAAAAAAAAAAAAAAAAAAAAGTCGATAAATATGCTTCCCGGGGACGCCTACGCAAATGTGTACAGGTCGCGCACAGTGTACCTATGTACAGTAGCGTATTGCCCTGGCACCTTTGACGGTACGAGCTTTCTTCCTCCGGCAGCCTTTCACGTGGCATTCGCACGAAAGCTCCGCCCTCTTATCGCTGCCTTCGAGCTCTTTGCGTGAGAGCATAAAGCCCGATTCACGATTAAAATGAAAATTATTGCGTGCGTTGGCTCAGCTGATCAATCATACACGTGGAATATCATTGTCATCTACCGACTCCATAAAAACCATTTTGTGGGGTTTGAAATTTCTTTTTTTTTTTTTTTTTCCAAATAAACGTCACCATTGAGGGCTACTGTGTTTTTCATCAAGACAGGGCACTTTAATTTCGTACATTAGATGGGAGACGATTAGCTTAAGGTCACATTTTTATAATCCAACATAGTTTAAATACTATATTTTCTTTAGAAAGAAATGAATATTTGCTCAAGATTAATGAAATGAAAAGAAAAAAAAAGCTCAAACTGACCGTCTGCGGTGTGTTCTTCTTCCTGATCTCGCTGATAATCCACGGCATCATGGGTCCCGCGCAACGGCGGTCCATCGCCGTGAAGCCGCAGTACTCGACAGGCATGTGCTTCATTGCCGTGTCACCTCACGAAAACGTCACCTACGCACCACGTCTTTTGGAACGAAATGCCTATATCCTCGGTGGCACTTCAGAGCATCGGGTCGCGGTACGCGCGTGACGTGTGTATATACCTCTTGAAATTCAAGCCACGAGCCGGTGGAACGCGTTACCTTTTTCCTGTATGGAAGGCGCGCGAAAAAGAAGTTGATGGGCGAGGGCAGCCCCTCGTACGGCACTCGTGCGCCTCACATCTTGGCGCGCCTCTGCGTCACTGCACGGCACTTTTGCGCTTCAAATGGAAGGCAACGTCGACAACCCCTTGGTGGCCTCTCGTTGTGGCCCCTCCGGCTGGTGCGTGTCCGCGTATTATATAAATCCGTCCCTGCGGTCAGCCCTCGAGGCTTCGGGTGCAAAGAGAGAGTGGAGTCGTTGTTCTATATCAACGTGCAACTACACGTTTACTTTTGCCGCTGCGCTTTTTTGCTCTTTCCCTCTGCAAAAGAAAAAGAAGAGGGGAAAAAAAAACATGAAAGAGTGGAAAATCGTTATGTGCACCGCAAAGTCGTGGGAGGAAAGGGGATTGTGTAATAAAGTAGCGCGTCACGAGAGAGAGAGAGAGAGAGAGAGAGCCGTTTTCCTGCTGCTTGTACATCGTATACGTATGTATTATGTATGCGCGCGTGATTCGTATTTTTCTAGCATTTACAGTGCCGTTGTTTATGCTTCTTTTTTTTTTTTTTTTTTTTTTTTTTTTTTTTTTTTTTTTTTTCTTAGTTTTTTTGCGATGTGTTTGTGTAGTTTTATGGGCTTATACCCGAGTAGAGTATTTTTAGTTCCTTTGGAATTGACTTCGCACTTTGGACACTAATTGTTGAAGCTATGAAGTCGAGTATTACTTTCGGTCGCGATGAGAATGAATGTGAAATTTTTTTTTTCCCCTGAGATGTTTAAAAATGTACATTACGTATCAAAAAGTGATCTGGACGAGAAGACGAGTCCAATTGTACGTTTTTTACGTTTTCTAACTTTATTTCCAACCGGTAGAAGTATTGAGTATTTTTGCACAGTATGTATTATTATGTCACTCACGTGTGAATTTATTCAATGCCCGACACGTATGAGAATGCATTTACAAAAGCGCTTTTTTTCTGCCAAAACATTTTTTTTACCTCTACAGTCCACTCAAAAATGTTATATTTTCCCTTTCAAGTAGCACTTTGCATGAATCATATATGCAAATGGAATATAAATTATTTTTGTGTGTATTAATAACACAACAATCGATGATTCGTACATTTCGATAGTTCAGCAATACAAGGAAGAGTATTTTTATGTGAGCTTTTGAATTGGAAGAGGCGAAAAAGCACTAATATTTGATAATCTAAGAGTGAAAAAAAAATAGTTGATTTTTACATTGCTGCTTATTTTTAGTTAAACAAAACACTCAGTCTTGAATTTTCTCCACTGCCCAATTACCAAAACACTATTTACTCCAAATCAACGATTTAAATAATCACACGATATGAGAACAGAAGCATCAAATAATTTTGCGCTTTCAGGTTGAAAAAAAAAAAATGAATAAAATAAAAAAAAAACAGCACAATCAAAAAGCCATTAAGCCACGAAAAGAAGAGGGAAACAAAAGAATTCGGTCGAAAACACTGGCACGCCACACTGGAGCATGTAATATAATTGAATGAAAATGTCGTGTATTCGGTCGAGTGACAGCACAAAGACTTGTAATTTTCTACGCAGTGTCAACCCGTGCGCATATTTGTGCATCGAAAAGATGAGCTAAGAGGAAAGGACAGTTCTCTGCTCGCAACACTTTTCAAAACACTAGTGTTTGCGATTGCAAAACTACAAAGAAAAAGACGAAGGTAAGCCGTTTCGTGTACCAGAGAGGTGCAATGTACGAGCCGTCGTCGCCGTCGTTGTTATCATGCAGCTCTTCGACCTCGACACGAGATTACACTGAACAATAAAGAAAACAATTATGATAAGAGCAATGACGCTGCACATACCTTACTCTACGATACATTTGAAGTATAAGAACAGCAACCGAACGGATCGCTCCCTCAAACTAACTTCAAACATGTGTGACACTCAACGTTATCTCTTGGAGATAAGGAAAAAAATTTTTTTAAATTTCGTCACAAAAACATATCTACCTATTACCGAATGGTTTGCAATTAACGCAATAGTGCCGATAACTCAAAGTAACACTGTTAAACTCACTGCGAAAAGGCGTTGGTCTGTCACTTCGAACGTAACGTTGCTCACGTTAGACCGAACGCAAAAACGTGACAACGATGGAAAAAAAAGAAAGAAAAAAAAAAAAAACTAGATCATGCAGCCTCTCATCAATGAAACAACCCCGAAGAGTCGAAAAAGCTGACGATGCGGTGTACAGGCTTGCACAGCGGCAGCCTCCCTCCGCCACTGTAGCACACCGTGTCTTTGTTCACGGAGGGTGTCGGAAAAGGGAAGCTTGCAACTTGGATTCTCCCGCACTCGCTCGTGCAGCGTCTTTGCCCCGCCACCACCCCCCCCCCCCCCGCTCTCGTGCTCTGCCACCCCCGCTATGTGATTCCGAAATGATGAAAACGACGAGAGAGGGAGATTAATTTTGAAAAAAAAGAAGCAAATGAAAAAAAAAAAAAAAAAAAGTGAGGTGTGGGCGACGCACCTGATTTCTCCTCCCCCGTGCTTGGGACAACAGCCGAGCCCCGGTCGGACGGAGAGGGTTTCCCTTGGAACGCGACGCGCCGAAGACAACTAATAGGTATACGAGGTGCAGAAGCAGACGGAGTCATGTTGTCTGGCCGGACCTGCTGCAGGCGCAGAGATAATAGATACACACGCGCTTTCTCGCTCGCTCGCTCTCGCCTCCCTCGAAATGTCAATACTCGTATACCGAGGCGCGCTACCTCGCCTCCTTTGCTTCGCACTTGGCTAATGTATGTGAGGGTATGTATATACATACCGCTCATGCGCTCTATCGTTGGCTGCTCTCTCTCTTTATGTGGAATATATATACTTTTGTACTGTGGAAGACGCGTATTGTGTGTGTATACGTACACGCTTTGCGAAGCGTTTTTCGAGCGATCGAGTGGAAGACCCTCTTTTTTTGCGGTTTTCGCTGGAGATATAGGGATATAGGGTTTCGTCGTCTGTTGCGCTTGTATAGGGATGGCGAAGGTTTCGGAAGGGGCTGGATGTACTCGGGTTCTTATTCATCGCTTTACACTGGCAGGTTAGGTTTTCGGTGGGTTTTATTGATCGGTTCTTCGCTACTTCTACTCGTGTGCACTGCTACGGTAGTGTGTGGCGAGCGATTGCGGGTTTTGGTAATGAGTTCAATGAAATTCTTTGACTGAGCCGACCTGCATTCGATGCACGAGACGAGAATAATACTGCGAGGGTTGAATCCTCTGATTGATGATCGGTATGATTTCGACGATGATCGGTATACATTCGGTGGAAATAAAAAAATTCGCTCAAGCGTGGTAGAAATCTACAGTTGATGAAAAAATGTATTTTTTAATAAAGATATGCATACAGTACCGATTTTATAATAGCATAATTGCTATAATGATTTCACGATATGTATAGGAAGGTCGTTATCTGCATCTGTACAGTGTTGAAACTATCAATGTTAGTTGACAGTAAATGACAAATTAATAGTATCTCAATTTTTCTTTGAGAAAAATTTATTACTAATAGTAGTTCAAACAATTTTTTAGAACTACAGTTTTAACATGTAGCTCCTAAATTAATAAATTGTGTCAATTAAAAAGCTTTACTTATTTTTTAAGGAAATTCATATCTGAATTATTTTTCTGAAAATTAATATTTATAACCTACTCAACAATCTTGAACGGGTTTACAATTCTAAAATCTATTGTTCAGCATTGGTTTGTTTCGATTTCAGTAGGTGTTTAAAGAAGTTTTGTTTATTCAACAGAAGAATAAATTATTCTAGTGGATGATGTCAACATGACTGTGATGTAATACTCGTTGCGCATGTATACGTAGTTACGAGTCGTATACAACCGATATAACAATTGTAATTATTATCGTATTAACGTACAAAGTTCAGCAGAAGATTTTTTTGAACGGATGTTTTGTTATACGATCGTTAAAAAACTTAGTATAAAATGTGAAACTTGTGCTTCTTCAAAAGAAAACTCAACGATTTCAGAAATCATAAGCCAAACATCAAAATTTTCGAACCATCATTCAGAGCTCCTGTCTTTGTTATTATTATTATTAGGCAGTACTTGGGTAAGGTTAGGCTGTGTTAAGTTTCTTTAAAAATCTCAACGGGTTATCTGTCATTTTTTTAAACTACTCACCTGCTAGGCATAATAAATCTTGAGCTAGGTACGCATACTCTGCATATGACGTTCTTAAGAGTCAGCTCGTAAAAATAAGTGATTTTCAGATATATATTACTTTGTTTTAACAATTTTTTTTAAAGTAAATATCCAGGTTATGCTTCATGTATTTGTATCTCTATTGAACATAACACTTAAACCACATCATATTGCACAAAAATATTTTTATTGTTAGCAACTGATATTTTATACACTTCTTGTATTCCAAACTCTTATTTCACCGTTATGAGGGAGGTAAATTATACTTTTTATATCTGGTTAGGACTATAATGAATGACGTAGTTGTCAGCACCTGAACAACTGTTTCTAACATGGTCCAGGACAAGGCGTTCTGAACGAGAGTAAAAAACGATATATTCCAGTAGGGGAATCCACACGCGAACAGAATATTGATACTTAAGATTAGTACTATGTGTTGATACGTGTGTTAGAAAAAGAGAAAGGAACAAAGAATTTTGACAATAAGAACATAAGATTTATGGAGACTGATTTTTATCGACCGAGTTTCCATGGGAGACTGGAGAATAAACTTAATCTACGTGTGTCACAAATGTTGAACCAGTAGTGAGATCTGTCAGTGGAGTAAAGAAGCTAGTAAAAATCGGTTCGGCGGGAAATTTAATTGAACATTTTACTCTTTGGGCTAAAATTAGAATTTAATATTATGACTATATTATTATGAGTGTCTTTTACATGACGTTTTTATTTTTAGTTCCAGAAAAAATGCTTTAAAAAAATTTACATACAAACATCTAATTCTAATACTAAAATAATTAAATTAAATTGATAATACATGTCATTTTCTAGGTATACAAAAAAGAGATAAAAATTCTTTCTTTTAATAGTTGATATTATGTTATCCACTAATAAAGCCAAATTACAAGGTTTCAAAAAATTTAATTTAATAGCATACGTCTTGTGAATTTATAGATGGATTTATAATCATAACATTAGAAAGAATCACCAAGACCTTTTGGGAGTATTTTCACTTTTGGTGTTGCATTGTAAGATAGCTTTAGGGTTCCATCTTTGTTAAATACGTTATCCGGACAGTATTTTCTGGTACATATACTTCCATCTCCTCCTTCAAAGCACCAGCAAGTATTGCAATAATATCTAAATTTCTCATTTGGTATACACTTTACGTCGACTTCACTTGCTAAAATGATTAAAGTATTTAAAATTTTGTTTTAAATCGACTAAAGAATTATATATATCACTCTTCAAAACTTCCTAAAAATATGTTTTATAAGTCAGTGCCTTGGTAAAAAAAATTCTCCAATAAATAAAGTTGCTGAAGTAAAACTGCATCAAAATTTTTTTTATTTTTTTATCCACAAAGTTCTCTTTAACTTACGTCAAAGCTGTATGAAATGGGTATGTTGGACTGACTTACGTTAAATCTTCTAAATACTGATCGAAAATTTCCACAGACAAATGCAAGAAATAATTGTTTTTTTATCAGCTGTTGTATAGTACATCAGATGTCAATACTAATATATCAATCGAATTATATTGTAGGAAAGTACAAGAAAATAGACACCTTTTCTATCAGAATTCTTGTACAAGATGAATATTTCTAACGAATTCTCGTTCATGCTTTCTTATATAAACTAAAATTTAGTGGAGATGAGATTAATTATAAATTTTAACGAATTAGTTGTGCACGTGGTAATAGCTTAAAATTATAGTTTTAAAATTGTAAAAAAAATTTTTTTGATTATTTTTTACTTTGTATTTATTTTTCAAGTAACACTAACAATTTAAGAAATTTTGTATTTCATTTTAAAAAAAAGTTAAACTAACTATTATTAGTAAATAAATTATATTTCTTGTAAAATATATTTCTTTAGAGTAACTTTTAATATATTTTCAATCACTTTGCTAACATACATTTCAAAGTTTCCTTCATATTAATATTTACAATGAACGAGGAAGCAATGAATCTGCTTTCACATTTTTTTAAATTGATTATTAAGTTAAGTATTTTTATTTCAATTTTAAAAAGACTACTGTTTCGACTTTGAGATATATTCATGTCTTATTTTGGTTCAAACAAACTGACAATAATTTTTTCGTTAGTCAAGAATGTATTTTTTCATTTCATTGATTAATATTGATTCAAAAATCTTTTTATTTTTTAATAACAATGGACACAGTATCTTTTAAATAGGGATAGTACTTGTTTTCACCAAGACATCGAAATTAAAATGACTGTACTTATAAAAAATATTTTACTTTATATTTAAAACCATAATTAACTTTAAATCAGATAAAAAAATGTTATAACATATAAACTTACCAAAAGCACTGATTATTGCAATCATCAATAGACCAAAGAAATTTAAAAACTGCATTTTTTCAAATTATTAGCACACAAAAATACGGGTATGTATTTTTGATCTTCTAGAGCCGAGTAGTTTGATCAAATAAACTTGACACATTGAACTTGTAACGTAACTAACACTCCTCAAGCTCTAGAAGAAACGGGGACACACAAAGACTCACGGATAAAGTAGTAATGTGTTTGTACATGTACATTAATATGGTTACACATACGCACATATCATCTACCGTAATTTGACTGAGCCTCGTAATATGGAATAAGAAAGTTTATTGAAAAATTGTTTTCAACTCACAATAGTCACTTGATACTCTAATTTTAATGTATTATTTCCGTTTGTAAATCAAGATGTAGCAAGCCAATTTAACATTTTTACGTCGTAACTTCAACTTAAAGTAATATTTTATAATTACTTTGTAATAAAAATTGTTATTTTTTTTAAAAACGATGATTAAAAAAATATGAACACTTATTATCAATGTAAATTAATATCAACTTTATTTTGCTGTATTCATGCATAAAATAATTTTTTTTAATTTATTTCAGAGATTTGCCATAGTATCAACATGTTTAAAAACTAAACATTTTTTGACTGCATAGAATATTATACAATAGTAAAGTTATAGTCAACATTTAATGAAATCTTGATTTTGATCTTATTATTAAAATAGTAGGAAATGGTTTAAATAATATCAATCTTTTTTGTGAATAATATCACTGTATTTTTTGTAAGCTACAACTTTTTTACTGCTTTATTAAAATTGTACTTTAAAATTCTACTTGCACGTAAGTTTTATAAATTTATTTCTTAGAGCATTTTTTAACAGTACAAACGGCTTTTGTTCCACTTGCATCACAAGTGCAGCTGTTGCATTTTTTTTTGTAAACCTTATGAGGTGTACAACTGAATTCAACTGGAAAAAAACAAGCATTTATATTTTTTGAACTGGATTTATGTTAATTATAAATAATTTTACTCACTGGCTTCCGAATGCGGGTCATGAGGATCTACTTCACATGATCTAATAACACAGCTAGCACTTTCTCCTAATTTACTACAGATGCAAGAACTGTATCTGTTTTCATAATGCCTTCCCGGTTTGCAAAATAGTTCTGAACCTTCATCAGAATGCACATCATACGCATCATGTTCGTATCCTAAATGATAATCCAATTCTTCTGAGTCTTCCCAAGAGCCATCGTATCCGTTAGGACACTCTAGAGCGGTGCAAAATTTTCCATTTTTATTTTTGCTACAGACACAAACATTGCATCCTTTTTGATACAATTTTGAACTAAGGCAGTGCTGAGCTGAAAATATAAATCAAGATAATCAAAATAAAATATGTATTTTACTTAATGCTAAAGATGTTTCAAGAAATGTAAAATTAATTANTCAAGTTTTTGTAGGCACTACGTTTAATAAAATATCTATTATCTATATCTGAGTGATGGTTATACAATTAAAATAACTAACAGATGACAAATTGTTTAATTATTATTTTTTTCAGATTTTTTATATTGTTTAATTAAATCTCAATGCCTGATTTTTGTAAAGGTTACCTGGTTTTTTGCAATCTGTATCATCGCACGAAGAGTGTTTACCATCTGCATTACAAATGCAAACGTTACAGTCGCGATGGAAAGTTTTTCCAGGCTCACAGCAATATTCGCCCTCTGATAATTATGATTTTTTAATAAAAGCAAGTGATATGCTGACCAAAAAAATTTATAATAATTCATACCCTCTTCCCACTCGAAACATTCTTTATTTGTGCACGAATATGATGCTCCGTCTATAGCGCATATACAAGTATTGCATTTTTGTTGACTTAAACTACCGGGCTTGCAATAACTTATTTCAGTTGTTCCCTGAATTGGTTCAGTTACTAAGGAAAAAAAATTAAATTTTGTTTGTATCGATCCTGAGACTTTTATATGTTTTTTTTAGTTATATATTACTTTACTTTATAATATTAAACACATCATATGAAATATTTACCACCTAGTCCTGCATCAGGTTTACATACTTTAAGGGTGCACAGCCCAGTTTTCCCATCTGCATCGCATTTACATACATTGCAATCTAATTTGAAAATTTTTCCTGGTTCGCAAGACGATGAAGAGTGTTCTGAATAAATAAGAAACTTGTTATAGTATTTTACTTATTGCAGTATTAAAAAATATGGTACATAAGTCATACCTTGATTGCAATCATATAAAGTGCAGTGTCCTTTCTTTCCATCACTATCACACATACACGTGTTGCATCCAAGTTTAAACTTTTTGCCAGGGGTACATTTCAGTTTACCTATTAAATCAATCAGTAATATAATAATTAAAAAAAATAACTTTAGTCAAATATTTATGTAAATTACCCAAATGTTCAACAGGACAATCATAATCGGTACACTTTTTGGAGCAACCATCATGTGAACAATGACATGTATTACAACCAATTTTAAAAATAGATCCAGGGGCGCAAATTTGGGGTGGAGCTACAACATAAAATACAGTAGAAAAAAAATTAAAAGGAAAAATATTAATATAAAATAAATGATTAAGTAATATAGTATTCTTACCCGGAGGAGTACAGTGATTTTGAGTGCATTTCTTATGAGTTCCATCATGAGAGCAAAGACAATGGTTACATTCGTCAATGTACCATGATTCACCAGGATTACAAATCTTTACAGACACCGTAGTGCAAGGACTGTTTGTACATTTCTTGTGGGTTCCGTCATCAGAGCATAAGCAATGATTACATTCATCTATGTACCAGGATGCTCCAGGTGAGCAAATTTTTTTTTCAGTAGTAGTCGTGGTGCACACATCATGAGTGCATTTTTTATAAAGTCCATCATCAGAGCACAAACAATGATTGCATTCATCAATATACCAAGATGCTCCTGGAGTACAGATTTTTTCGGTAGTGGTAGTTGTAGTGCACACATCATGAGTGCATTTTTTATGAAGACCATCATCAGAGCACAAACAATGATTGCATTCATCAATATACCAAGATGCTCCAGGAGTACATATTTTTTCAGTGGTGGTAGTCGTGGTGCACACATCGTGAGTGCATTTTTTATGAAGACCATCATCAGAGCACAAACAATGATTGCATTTATCAATATACCAAGATGATCCAGGAGTACAGATTTTTTCGGTAGTGGTGGTTGTAGTGCACACATCATGAGTGCATTTTTTATGAAGACCATCGTCAGAACACAAACAATGATTGCATTCATCAATATACCAAGCTGCTCCAGGAGTACATATTTTTTCAGTGGTAGTAGTTGTAGTACACACATCATGAGTGCATTTTTTATGAAGTCCATCATCAGAGCACAAACAGTGATTGCATTCGTCTATATACCAGGATGACCCAGGCGTACAGATTTTTTCGGTAGTCGTGGTTGTAGTGCACACATCGTGAGTGCATTTTTTATGAAGACCATCATCAGAGCATAAGCAGTGATTACATTCATCTATATACCAAGATGACCCAGGAGTGCAGATTTTTTCAGTGGTAGTAGTTGTTGTACACTTATTGTTAGTACATTTCTTGTGAGTTCCGTCATTAGAGCATAGACAGTGATTGCACTCGTCAATATACCACGATGATCCAGGAGAACAAATTTTTTTTTCAGTTGTCGTTGTTGTGCATACGTCATGAGTGCACTTTTTATGAGTACCATCATCAGAGCACAAGCAGTGATTGCATTCGTCTATATACCAGGATGATCCAGGCGTACAAATTTTTTCAGTGGTAGTTGTTGTACATACGTCATGAGTACATTTTTTACGGGTCCCGTCATCAGAGCATAAGCAGTGGTTACACTCATCAATATACCAAGAAGCTCCAGGAGTGCAGACCTTTTCGGTAGTAGTCGTCGTACACACATCATGAGTGCATTTTTTATGGGTCCCGTCATCAGAACACAAGCAGTGATTGCATTCGTCTATATACCAGGATGATCCAGGCGTACATATTTTTTCAGTGGTAGTTGTTGTACACACATCATGAGTGCATTTTTTATGAAGACCATCATCAGAGCACAAGCAGTGATTGCATTCGTCAATATACCAAGATGCTCCAGGTGTACATATCTTTTCGGTAGTAGTTGTTGTGCACACATCATTTGTACATTTTTTATGCGTTCCATCTTTAGAGCATAGGCAGTGGTTGCAGCTATCAATATACCAAGATGATCCAGGTTCACAGATTTTTGGAATAGAGGTTGTTGTGCATACGTTGTTAGTACACTTTTTATGGGTTCCATCTTGAGAACAAAGACAATGGTTGCAATCGTCGATATACCATGATTCTCCAGGATAACAAATTTTGACTGGAGTGGTGGTGCAAGGATTGTTTGTACACTTTTTGTGGGTGCCGTCCAGTGAACAAAGGCAATGATTGCACTCATCTATTTTCCATGCCTCTCCAGGATTACATATTTTTTTTTCGGTCGTCGTTGTTGTACATACTTTATTAGTACACTTTTTATGCGTTCCATCTTCAGAACAAAGACAATGATTGCAGTCATCGATGTACCATGATTCTCCTGGATTACATATTTTGGCGGGAGCCGTTGTACATGGGTTATTTGTACATTTCTTATATGTACCATCATGAGAACATAGACAGTGGTTGCAGTAGTCAATATACCATGACTCTCCTGGCTCGCATATCTTCTTTTCAGTCGGCTTATGCCCTGAAACCAAGAATATTGTTAAATAATGTTGTCTCTAGTTTTTTGAATAAGTTGAGCTTATTATTACATAAAATAATATTCTTAAAACAGAATTTCAAAATAAAGCTCTTCAATAATTTGTTGAATAATACATATGAATTTTACTAACATCTGTTAGATTGAATCGTTTACTAATAGTTATATATCTTTTTATGTATAATAATAAATTAAGTTATCAAGTTTTTGTAGGCACTACGTTTAATAAAATATCTATTATCTATATCTGAGTGATGGTTATACAATTAAAATAACTAACAGATGACAAATTGTTTAATTATTATTTTTTTCAGATTTTTTATATTGTTTAATTAAATCTCAATGCCTGATTTTTGTAAAGGTTACCTGGTTTTTTGCAATCTGTATCATCGCACGAAGAGTGTTTACCATCTGCATTACAAATGCAAACGTTACAGTCGCGATGGAAAGTTTTTCCAGGCTCACAGCAATATTCGCCCTCTGATAATTATGATTTTTTAATAAAAGCAAGTGATATGCTGACCAAAAAAATTTATAATAATTCATACCCTCTTCCCACTCGAAACATTCTTTATTTGTGCACGAATATGATGCTCCGTCTATAGCGCATATACAAGTATTGCATTTTTGTTGACTTAAACTACCGGGCTTGCAATAACTTATTTCAGTTGTTCCCTGAATTGGTTCAGTTACTAAGGAAAAAAAATTAAATTTTGTTTGTATCGATCCTGAGACTTTTATATGTTTTTTTTAGTTATTAATGTGTTATAAAATTTAGATTTGAAATATTTTTCAGTCTTATAGAAATGAGACGGAAACGTCATTAGTTTATCATTTGTCAATTGTTGATTCCGAAATTTCAGTCTTGGATTAGAACGAAGAAGTTGATATTCAGTTTTAAAAAAAGTTAAAGTATTTTTTAGAAACAGTACCTTCAGCTGAACAGGCATACTCTGTACAAGAAGCAGTTTTTCCGTCTTGTTCACAAGTGCAAACATTACAACCGCGGTCAAAGCTTTTTCCAGGCTCACATCGAAATAAACCCGCTGTTAATAATAAATCATGTCACATAAATTAGAAAACTAATATTTGTGTTCAAAATTTCTAATTTCCTACCTTCTTCCCACACAATACAATCATTTTTAGTACATTGATAAGTCGTTCCATCCAATGAACATTCGCAATTATTGCATTTTTCTTTAAAAACGCTACCTGGCTTGCAAACGCTTTTGACAGTTGTTCTTTCAGTTACGGCCTCAGTAACTATAATACAAAATTAATTGAAATAAAACTCAGTTAAATTCTTTGATGCAAACTAGTTCTAACTTTATTGTATAGTTATATTTCATAATTTAAATAGAGTTATTAAAAGTTGTTTTGTTTTTATTTTAATAAGAAAAATTAAACTCTCTTCTAATTATTAATAAGATGTAGAATGAACGCAATTAAATTACTTAATATTAGTAAGAATTTAGTGTTAAAAAAATGATCATAAATTTTTTAGTTACCTGCTGTCTGTTCACAAATTTTATTAGTACAAGCCTTGGAAGTACCATCGTCAGAACAAATACATAGATTACAATTATATTTGATCAAAGTATTTGGCTCACAAATTTGTATTAAAAAGGTTTTATGGATGGAGTTCGTAACTGAAAGTTGATTTTTTTTTTTTCAAACAAATTATTTATGGAATTTCTAGTTTAAATGTACTGTCAAAAAAAAAAATTTTACCTGGATAAATACATTTGTTTAAAGTGCATGCAGAAGATTTTCCGTCGCTACTACATACGCAAGTATTACAGTCTCGTTTGTAACTTTTATTTGGCACGCAGTGAAATTTTCCATCTGCCCATAAAAATAATATGCTTATTACATTAAGATTTCCCACATTCATAAAATTTTTTAAAGCCTACTAGTATACCTTCTTTCCACTCAGTACACTCTTTTTCTGAGCAAGAAGATGATAATCCACTATTGGAACATTCGCATATATTACACTTATCTTGGAAAACTGTTCCAGGGTGACACTTTTTTGATGGTACCTCGTAATTATCTTCGTAGGCTGGCGGAATCATATTTAATTTTAAAAATAGATGTGACACAAAATTAATCCACACTGAAGCATTATTTAAGATTTTTAATTATAGTAAGTTATTGGGCAATATTTTACGTTAGCATCTAAAACGTGCTATTTTATAATAAATGTGTGGTTAACTATAAGATTATAGCAAAAATCAATCAAAATAAAAAAACTGTAGATTGCAAAAAACAGGACCTTATTTAATTATTCAGCTTTAGGTAGTTTGAACCATATTTTTTTACATGTATTTTTTTCGTTTTAATAATTACTACGGCAATTTTTTAACGGTAAGTAAATTATTTTTAAAATTTAGTAGTTACAATTTTCACTGTAACATTGTACGAAGAGGATAAAATAAAAAAAAAATTATTAGTTTTGGACTTACCGAATGCGCTGAGGGAAAACAACAAAATAATCACTAATGCCTTCATTTTTTGTACTGTTCGGTGCTATTCTGTTTGAGAAAGCGACCGATTTAATTACCACAATTGCGATTTTTTTGGTTTAAATAGTGAAATCGCATTTCAATCGATTTCAGTCTTACACATTCATTTAAGATAACAAGTATTCTTGGTAGTTTGTTTCTTAAAAATCATTTCAGTTTTATTGTTATTTCATGGGGTGGGTTATCTTTGATTGCGAACAGATTATGTTGCATTAGGTTTGCTTGAAAATAATGACAATAGGTAAGTGTACAGATTTGTGTTGGTTTTTAAGGCAATATTGTACTTCTGAAATCTTAAGATTTTCTTAGAAAAAGATTATTTAGTAAGCCTCCAAATTTTGATAAGAATCTTTATCTTAAAATTTTTTTTTTTTTTTACCTAGAAATGAGAATCAATCAAACTCTTTCGACGAGAAACATTGTGTTTGTAGAAGCACATTTACACACACTTAGTTCAGAAGTGTAGTGGATATTCAAGTCTCTTATGTTCTTTGTGAGAACGTGTGTGTTGGATCCAAAAACAGCTTTTAACGGAGGTCTATTAGGTGGACCTCTCGTTTTTTCTTTCTTTTTAGTATAACACGTTTTTCTTACACTTTTCTTATTGCGTTAAAATAAATGCTTAGTTTTCTATTATATATAGTTTTACTTAAAAAATTCAAAATGTCCGCTATTAAGATATTGTATAAATTTCTGGAAGCATGGAATATATGTGCATGGAAGCATAAAAAATATTGTATGTAAATTCTAAAATCGTAAATAATTGTCTTATTCGATTTTAGTAGTTGAGCATGTTAAGCATCCTTTGAAGTATCTTTACGTGCAATCGTAAAGTTGGAGTCATAATCAAAATAAAATGAAAATTCTAAGCTCTGCAAAATAAAATTTTTAAATTTAAATTCGAAAACGTGATTCACCAGTTGTATACACAAACGCATGTATAGTAAACAAAAAAATTTGATTTAAGTTAAAAATTATAATTCTACAAAAAAATTCCTTTCTGAGCCTGAGTAACGTACAAAAATACATTTTTATTTCACTACGGGGATTTAAAAAAAAACAAAAACAAAAAACATCAACTTTAACTCCTGGATGAATAAAATTATCAGTAGGCTCTTAAATTTTTACTGATAACACACACCAATACAGAAAACATGTGCGAGCACACGCTTACTTACTTACTGATTATATCGATTTTCATCAATGATTTATTTCGATTGTAATATATATTATCGGCCTAGAGTACATTAATTCAATTAACTAGTTGTAAAATTATTATAAATAGAAGCGTACAGTTTTGTTTTGAAAGCCCTGTTTTTATAACAAGTGAGAAATGATTTTATTTTTATAGTAGAAATATTAATCGCAGTTTTATTTTTGTTTTTTTAAGTACATCTTATTTACACAATTATTTAAAAAACCCTTTTTTTCCAAACATAAATTTCTCTAGATAATTTTCTATGCGATCTTACGTGACCTTTATGCTACATCACTTTAGTGGAGTCAAAACCTGTATTCGAGATTGAAGTGACTGTACAGTATAGCAACTGTAAATATATATACAAAAAATATCCAGTATCTTCAAAAATTGAATTTGGAACATTTTCTACCTTGTTGATATCAATAGATTGATGCATTCATGCTGCTAATAAACGCTTTAAAAAATCCGCTCATTAGCAACAATAGCAGGTTTAAACTTTATATACATCTTATAAAATTATCGAAAAAATTTCTTTTTTTTAGTAAACAAATGTCAAGGTAATTTTTGTAACTCTTAATCTTGATTAAATAAGTATCTTGCGAACTATTGTTTACTACTCCCATCATTTTTTTCTTTTACTAAAGATAATGAGGCAGTTTTAACCTCAAGTTTTTTATTCATTTATTTTTTTATTGAAATAAAAAAATTTTCACTTCAAATGATATTATTTCAATAACACCTGCTAACATATGATGTGAACTATCAGTATTGTTACAATGACAGTTTTTGTAATATTGGTAACAATCTGGAGAAACCTTTTAAACAAACTGTGATACTTTCATTAATCAACGATTGCTCAATGACGCGTAATGCTTAGTTATGTAGTAAAATGCGTTAAAAAACGAAAGGGTTAATCAACTTGAAATGTGCTAAAGATATACTGATAATGCAAAGACTCAGAAAACTTGTAAAATTGGTAATTAACTTCTTGAAAGGTGTGTTTGCTGCTTAAACAACGTACGTTAGTAATGTTTGATCTTCGATAACATTACTGTTGAAAGAATATTAAATTTCTTGGCATATTTAGCAATGCATTTATCATTTACAGTAACGAATGGGAGAGTTATCACGAAATCAATTTTATCTATTTTTTAAGAGCTCAAAATTTTTTGCAATTTTCTACACATATTATAATGTGTGATGAACGGTTGTATTAGCTTTACGATGAAAAGAAAAACATGAGTAACAGTAATAAAAGATTACGTCAGAGGGATAAAATATACTTAGTTTTTGAAAATTTAAATCTTTAACAAATTTTGAGTGGCAGTCAGACATAAAAAAACGTTAACTCGAGTTTTTATTGAAACAGGTGTCACTTAAAATTTTCATCAAAAAAGGTAAAAATTCATATTCATCGAATAAAATATTAAAAATAGTTTCAGTTCTAAAGGATTTTCTACCAAAATTTTGTAGTGGCCACATAGAGTGCAGGGCATTTTCATTTATTCTCTACATCGATTTTTACAATAAAACAACTTAACAAGGCGATCTTTGTTATCGTGCAAGACGCCTTCTGTTATTCAATATACGAATGAAATGTACTAATAAATAAACACACAGAATACAGATGAGTTTTCTTTATACATTGTGCGGATAACAAAACGTCGAGCTATAATGCGAATCAGAAGTATTCAAGAGCAAACATTTTTTGAAAAAAATTTTACGTTCACTCTACTCCACGATAAATTTGTTTTTTATTTTTTTATGTAATACAACAGTACTTATTTACATGAATTGTATTTTATCTCAAAAAAGTGATGAATAAAAACTATTTAATATAACTTAAGCGCTTCAACTAACATCGTATCGTGTTAAAAACATTTAACAGAGTGTGGGTAGTCGGCAAGTCCATTAAATTTTTGTAAGTTTATACACCTCATGTAATATAATATAGTAAATAAAGATAGAAACTCTATACCATGCATGATGGTACGTAAAATGGTTCGTTTTGTCTGCATAAAATCTTAAATGAATGAAATTTAATAAATATTTTTTTTTATTAAAAAATCGTAAATTAAAAATTTATAAATGAGTAGAAACGTATTATATTCATTTGAAATGGCGCGCTGAAATTATAAAGGGGAATATAAACTCTCTAACTCGAATTCAATTGTCTGCTCGAACTCGAATTCATGTATTGCGTTGCTGTATGAAAAATTTTAATTGGTATTGCGTTGATAAGAACTGCCGACGTAGAAACTCAAGCTAGTCAAACACAAAACAGAGGCATCAGTTGACTTGTGTCTGACTTTACTTTCAAGTGCCTCTTTTCCTTCGATAATTTTAACAAATTAACGCATTTTTTAGTGTTAAAGTGAACGACAAACATTTTCTAGTAAAGCTATTTATAAAGTGTCAGCCGCAAGAAAAGCAGATATTGTCGCCAGAAATCCGTTAGCGGTGCCTTATTTATTCATCATTGTGGATGTATCCTACTTTAAAAGTAAAAAAAAAAGTTTAAAAAAAAGTTTTATTCTAATTCTTCATTACAAGTACCAAAGTTTGAAATTTTTTGTGTTAACATTGATTCAAAATCTTTAAATTTTAATGGTATACAAATATTTTTTTCAGTTATAATTTGAACTTAGTAATAACAATATTTTTTCTAAGAAACTTTTAATCTTCAGTGCTGTGTTCAATAGTATTAAAGTATGGCCATAAATAAATAGAAACTGTTACATTGTTATACGTTTCAATAAAAAAATTGTGATCACAGAGACTACAGATTACTCACAAAAGGCCGTACAATCAATACGAATATTACTTGAAACGACTGGGAGTAACTAGTTCGTTTCTGTTTCTTAATCACTGTCCAAATAATCTCGTAATAGGGAGCTGTTTCAACACATCGAAAATATTAAAGGCGTCATTTCTACTCTATTTTCATGAGTCTCTTTGCTCATCAATTTATAGCTTGAACTGCTGAAAAAAAATTTAAATTTGATTTGTCCTTGACCTAGTTTGTTTTATTGATAGACAAAAATGGCCAAAAAATTCGATACCAATGAAGATTGCATTGAAAATCCAGAAAATTTAAAAAGGCTCTCTTGCACATCGTCTACCTCATCAACAATGATTACTGGAATTATTTCTCTTGATTTATTACAAATCTGGAGCCAACTTCCTGATACGATTCGGATGGATTCAAGTTTGGACGTGTTCAAAAAAGAGTATGAAAAGATACTGAAAAGGTTCGCACTCTAGACTTAATTACGTCACTGAAAATATTCAACGTTCACTTTGTTTCAAAGTCTTGTTAATATACTGTTATATATAATATAATGTAAATTGCTGATAAAAGGTGACATTTTTTAATTCTTTATGGTTTATTTTTAGTTCACCATTGATGACATTTACAACTAGAGACTATTTATTTCCAAACGAATTATCAGTACGTCAAGAAGAAGCAGAAAAGTAAGTACTTGTCCATTTATTAAATTTTACATTAACTGTGACAATCCTATCAACATGCGTGAATACACATTTCTAGTCATAAAAGAGGAAAGGAACATTCAGTCAAAAATTTTAATGCTCGTAAATCTAAATTTAAATGCATTATGAGATATACTAAAATGGCTTTACTTGTTACCTGCTGTATTGCTTTTTCCGTAAGTAAAATATTAAAGTATTAAAATTGATAATGCTACCACAATTTTTATTATTTTTGCAGATTACGTTAATGATAACAGAAGAAAAAAAAGAAAACTATCATGTTATCTCAGTACCAAATAATGACATAAAAAGTATTTACTAAAATTAGAATATGACGTAATAATATTAATATAAAATTCAGTAACCAAATTTTTTGAACAAAAAAAATAGGTATGTTATTAAAACATAGTACCTGTAGAAGTGATAAAATTAGTGTAACCATCGAAGGTTCATCTCTAGTAGAAAAAGATACAGTAAACATTTCTCAAACTTACTTGTCGATATGGTTATCAGAAGAAAATGATAAATTCAATGATATTCAAGTTATTAAGGTACTTTACTATCTTATGAACGGTTTTATAGTTTTATATCGTGATTCTCTGATGTGCCTTAAAAATAAGATTTTTTTTTTAATTTAGAACATATCAGAAGAGTGGATTTTACCCTTGGCACCATCAGAATCCTACTCACCCATCTCTCATCGCCGAATTAACACTTTTATACTCAAGGAAGAGTTAGTATTACCAATCATATTTTTCCCTTTTAAATAATTTTTAAATCGAATCTTACAGATCTAAATAACTAACATGTAATCTAATATATACACCATTTTTTGCTTTATGATTCCATAAATTTAATTTCAGCTTACGAAATCGTGCGATTGTAATTAATTTGAAATCAAATTCACGTTCATCGGTTCCTCTGATGCTATCTTACAATTTGACACCACTCGATGTAAACAAAGGACTTGCGTTTGGAACTTTTCTATTGATCGGATTTTATGTTATTATAATGTTTGATGTATAAAACATAATTCATTTTTTTTTTTTTCGTAATATTGTTCTATTAATTAATGGTTCAAATTTTCATGCGATAGTTGGTACACAGGACGATTGCAGCTTTATTAGCAGCCACTGGCTCTTTAGCAATATTATCTGCTTTAAATCAGGTAACAGCAATTCATACTTTTATGTGTCAAACATATTACCTTTTAATTTCAAAATTTTGTAAATTTAACATGTACAGAAACCAACAATGAGTCAAATTATATCATGGGTTGATTTTGATACCATTATGTTGCTATTTTCAATGATGGTTTTGGTGGCTATTGTTGCAGATTCTGGTGCTTTAGATTATTTTGCAGTATTCGCATACAAGGTAAATGTTTGGTATCGAAAACTCTTTTGTAAGCGTTTACTGAAATATGTTTATTTTTAGATAACTCACGGGAAAGTTCTGCCCCTTGTAAGCATGCTATGCTTTTTCACAGCTTTTGTTTCCGCTGTTTTAGATAACGTTACCGTTATTATGCTTATAATACCTGCAACTATTAAAATTTGCGAAGTGATAAAGATTAATCCCGTCTCTGTCATAATAATAATGGTAATGTTTTCAAATATTGGCGGTGCTATGACACCAGTAGGTGATCCCCCAAACGTGATCATTGCTTCGAACAGACGTGTAATCGCGGCGGTAAGCCATCAGGCGCTACAATATCTGACAACTCATACATGTGTATACAAATATTTTATACCAATATATTGCATATGTTTTTATACAGGGAATCGACTTTGGCACATTTACACTTCATATGACTATTGGTGTATTATTAGCTTTAGTTATTTTGTATGGACATTTCAGATTCATTTTTAGAAATATCGATAAATTACGTTTTCAGAAACCAAAAAAAAATCAGGTTTAACTTAAATAGTACACATTTAAAACCAAGGATAATCTTAAGGAGTTCTTAAAAAAATCTATTAATTCTACCTTTAGGAATTACAACAGGAAATCAATAAGTGGCAGATGATGGCAGTGACTCTAACAAGTCATAATAAAGGCGATGTTATTGCTCGAGATGTCCTATTAAATAAAATTAAAGAGCTACTACAAAAATTACAAAATAAAGTTGAAAGTGAAAATAATTGTACGGAAAACTTTGAAACTACAGTGAAGGAACTCAAAGAGAAGGTTTTTATACATCATTTACATGTTTTTAGGCACTAAATAGTATTACACCACCAATATAAGCAATTTATATTTTGTTTTTATTTTAGTACAAAATTAGAGATAAATGTCTTCTAGTGAAATCTGGAATTTGTATGGCGCTTGTTATTATTCTATTCTCTTTGCATAGTTCACCAAGTTTTCATTTATCCATTGGCTCGATAGCATTTTTGTGTATTTTGTTACTTCTTATAATCGCAGACAATAAAACGTTTGATGATTTATTAACTCGAGTCGAATGGAGCACTCTATTATTTTTTGCTGCATTGTTTATACTAATGGAGGTATTATCAAATTTTAATTTTACTATAAAATTATTTTAAAAATCATGCAGTGTTTTTTAATGTGGCAGCTACTTCATTAAATTCTGTAGGCTTTAACAGAACTTGGACTTATATCATGGATAGGTGATAAAACAGAATCGATTATTTTGTCCGTAAGCGAGGAATCAAGGTTATCTGTTGCGATTCTGCTTTTATTGTGGGTATCAGCGTTTGCAGGTGCTCTTGTAGATAATGTACCACTTGCAACGATGATGGTAAAAATTGTTACTGGTATAGCAGAAAATAGTAAACTCAAATTACCTCTTCAGCCACTTGTTTGGGCTCTTTGCTTCGGTTGTTTAGGAGGTGAATTTTGTGATTTTATATAAAAATAAAAACGTTTGATGGTATCTTTTTAGATTCAAGACAAGTTCGACTCTGTCAAACTCATTATTACATGTACAACGTTCGGTTATTAAACAAGTTTTCTTGTGTTTTAACAACGAATACGTATCCAAAGTATCTCTCATCTGAAAATTACAGTACCTAAGGTCTTCTTACCTTCACATAAATTTCTCAGAAGTATGCACTTTCCGAAATAATATTGTTTTCGCATTCAAAATAATATTGGCAAATGTCAGTTGTGCTAGTTCTCATTAAAGGGCTCAGTCAATGTTAACATCGTCTTTGTTAATAACATAAATTTGTAAAATGTATAAGATGTCCTGAAGACATAAAATGTGTAATTTTCTGAAACGCAGCATCCTAAGAAATGTTCTTCAAGGAATGCCTCATTAAAATTTCGTTCGATGGCAAAGACTTACTTTGATTTTTAGATGAGAACTATATTGGTTAAGTCTTCGTTTTAATGCGACTAGAAACTTGTGTAATAACCTATCATTTGTTTGATGGAGTTTTTTTAGTTTAATTTAGTTATTGACGAACTTGAATTCTGAAAAAATTGATCCAATAATTGGTCAAACTTTGGTCATTTTTGTGTGAAATGATTAAAAAATTCAATTTTTTAATAACAATAACACGATTTGTAGGGAATGGAACTTTGATTGGAGCTACTACAAATGTTGTGTGTGCTGGGGTAGCTGAACAATATGGTTACCGAGTCACATTCATGCAATTTTTCAAGTATTTTCGAGCCCTTACTTTATTTTCATGTTCTAGCAGTAATTCTTTTTTTTTCTTTAATTAATTAACATTCGAATTTTAGGATTGGATTTCCAGTTTTACTGACCAGCACATTAACCATCTCAGTCTATTTAATTATCGCTCATGTGATTTTTGAATGGAATAATTGAAACTATTAATATCTAAAAACCATTTATTTTAGAAATTAAATCTTTGTATTATTAAATTTACAATTTAAGGTACAGAATAATTTAGTTGCTCAACATATTTAAATCTATACTTAAGGTCACAGGATAATGTGGTGCAAATTCCTTTACCATGGTTATTGCAAATGCAAATGTTACAGTCGTCATTAAATATGATTCCAGGATGGCACTTTTCTACGGTATCCTTATTGGCAGAATTATCTTCTGTAAAAAATATTTTTATTACTAGTTATTTCTATCCGGATGTAAACATATACTCATACCTTCTGTATTCATGTCACATTTTACGCCAGAGCACATAGCATAAGTACCAGTGGTACTACATATACATTTTCGGCATGCATCATAATTGAAAATATTCTTGGGAGTACATACAGTTGTAACATCTTGAATAAAAATTATTTGTAAATTAACAAGTTTGTTTAAAAAGTGTAACTATAAGGTATTTTAAACTTAATTGAAATACCTCCTCAATAAAAATTAAGCAATATATTTTTATCGTTCATAAATATATAAATTTTTATGAATAAATTAGTAGTTAAATTAAGTAACAATAAAGCAGGTGACTTACTGAGAATGTGTTTGTGACGGAAATTAGGATAGTTACAAGCAGTTTTTTCGCAACTTACGCTCGTACCCAACTGATTGCAACTGCATTCGTTGCACTCGACAATCAAAGTACTATTAGGTATGCACAACACGTCCTTGGTCTCTGTAAAAGATGTTCAACAAAATATTGACACGTCTGGATTGAAAATTTAAAATCAATAATTATTTTAGCCTACATATTTTGCTTTAATTTATGTCTTACTTGTAATATCGTGTAGCGCGTAACAGTCTAGATTTGTACACGTTGCAGTACCATCTGGTCCACAAATACATCCGTTGCATTTATCACTAAAAATTGATCCAGGAATACATTTTTCTACAGAGTTAACTAAAAGATATGTGGACGTTATTATTATTATACATTTTAATTCTTAGTGGTAATGAATATGTATTAACACTTACTTAATTTGGAATCAGTAGCTTTGCATTTGGAAGGTATGCAAGTCGCATGTTTTTCATCTGTGCATAGGCATTCGTAACATCCATTATGAAATATGTTCGTACTAGTAATTTTTTTTGAACAATCCATGGTGAGATCTAAAAATCATGTAAGTCTTTATTTATGTATTATTATTAAAAAATTATTTATTTCACTGGTGTTAATATTTTCTTTATACTTTGTAAATGAGAAGCTTGTAGTTCAGGATACAGTGTACTGTACATTTTTCTTTTACATGTTATTTTTTCTCCTTTACCATCGCAATAGCAAATATTATGATCATACGTAAACATTCTGTTTGGCAAGCAATTCCATGATGTTAATGTTTCTAATGCTGTTGTGGCACATAAATTATTTATTGTTTGAAATTTGAGTACATTGATTGTGTTATAGTATTATTATGTGTGATTAACAAATTTTACTTTACCTGTATTACTTAGAGAATCGGCGTTACCTGAAAATTAAAAATATAATTAATGATTCTAAGTTTGTGTGTATTGTAGGAGCGTACTTACCAAACAAAAGAAATATTAATGAATAAAATGTTTTTAAAAACATATTGATAGAGAACAGTAGTTACTTAAAGAAAAAGTGAAAAAATTTTATCTTAAAATTATTGTTACACTAAAACTCGTATAAGTATTGATACAAAAAATATATGCTGCGTTTATATTTTTGTATCATTTACAAAAAACAATTACAGTCTACTTTTATCAAACAATCATCACTACTTGATTTTTTTTTACTTGAATAAATGTCTGAAGTGAAAATAATATAAGATTTTTAAAAATTTGTTTAACTCCGAAAGTGACGAGAAATTTTTATCTCAGAAATATTGTAAGAAAGAAAATGTACTTATAGCAAGTGTTATAATGATTATTGTTTTTGCGATCATAAATTTTGTGAATGATAACATTCCCAATGATTGTACGTAATCACTACCTCGTGCGATATGTAGTACATACAATTGTAATCACTTGTGAATAATTAAACTTGTACTCTTACTATATTATCAAAGTTTGAATTGAATTTTTCTCGTGCATCATAAAGAATAAAAATTGTATAAAATATCTTGATGGTTAGAAGAGAATGAGTTTGTAAATATAAAATTTTAATATTTGACATTAAAAAGTTATAGTTTTTATGCATCTTATAATTTACAGTGTAATAAGGAGGATTAATGCATCCATTGTTAATCATGTGGAATAAAAATTTGGTTAAAATATCGGACCTAATGTTTACTCAATACATTCCGTACATAAAATAAATTTACTGTAATTAAAGACAATGTCAGTCAACGATCCATAAAAGCTATTTAATTTAAGTATCATCTGAAAAATCGTAAGAGTAACTCCATTTTTTGTTAAATTAATTTTCAATGCACAACCAGTGTTTTAAGAAGTAAGGAAACATTTTTTTAAAAGTCAAAAGAAACTTACCATATCAACAAACAACTTCATAATAAAGTTGTACGTCAGAATAAGCAGTCATAAATTTACGACCCAGATAAAAGAACCTTACTTCTTAGTTTAACACGAATATGCAGGAAGTAACCAATCTCCGTATTATTAAGTAAAAAAATTACATGTAAAACTATGTACATATTCAAGAAAATTTTGTATGTGTGATTTTTTGACATTATTTGATTACCGTTTATGGTTTTGTTCGTGAAAGCACAAAAATTACTTTAACTATTTTTCAGTAACATCAAACTAAACTAAATTTTTTCATACAGAGTGATTTTTAAAAGCGTATTAAAATTTATATTAAATCACGTATGGACGTATAAACGTGTAGTTTAAAATCCCAAATAGTTTATGAAAAGTACCAACCCAATCACTCTTTTTTCTGTTTTGGCAGCTCTACAATGCGAGTCTAGAGAGTTTTTTTTTCGTTATTCTTAGAGTCTTTTTTTTATACAATGATATGGATATTTAGCTATGATGGGGTTTACTCATGATACTTCTAATACACTCTGATGACATTAAAGGGACCACTAAATTGTGATGGGATGGCTCAAATTCATGAAATTGTGAGAATGCATGCTGCTCAACTCTGTGTCTATTTTTATAATTAATATCGATAGAGCCACGGATCCAAGTAAAGACACATACTTACATGCATGCAGTTGCTGCAGTATATCAGCAGGCGCTTTTTTAAGATGATTCAAAAGATTTCTACAAGTACATCTATTTTTCAAAGTGTTTGACACAGTACTATACCACTGCTCATAAAAGAAATTTTGATGCTACTTGTTATTTCTAGGTAATAAAAGTATTTTTATACAACTGCTCATTGAATTTTAAGGCTTTTGTGGCTTTCTGTTGGTAAAAACAGCTGAAAAAGAATTTTTAAAGATTATCTTAATTTTTTGTTTCTAAAGGTGAAATATGTTAAACACGAAAGAATTTTTATCTGTCGACCTCAACCTCGTTTGGCCTTGAATGCTTGTCTACAGCATTTTGAATGCTATTTTTGTGATAGCATTTTTTTATGTCTAGTAATGGAAGCATGAAATATTCATTCAGTAGAATACAACTGATAGCATTTGAAGTTATTGTAAGGGTAGGTATGTCGTATAAGCCACTCTATTAAACATAACGGTCAAGCTGTATAACTGCGGTGACTATTGAAGAATCAAAAAAAGGTCACTTGTATATTTAAATACTATTAAGTACTATTGAAAATCACCCTTAAAATTTCTATACGATTTGCAATGACATTGATGAATTTTTTTACCTTTGAGAAAATGACACCCTTACGTCTCTGAAAACCAGAAAGAATTATGAAATTCCTTTTTAACCAGAATCTGAGCTAAATTTCGTGTAATCAAAAATATAAGGTATCACTTTCTAGAATTTGATTCTGACTGAAAGCTCTCCTAAATCTAAGTGCATTAACGCTTTCTTGCGCCTCAACGAAGATAGAGAAGTACATATACATATATATCCGTGCCAATCAAGGATATCGTTATCATTTTTCAAAGCTATCTGAGTCAAATCTAATAAGACGTCATTTTAGACTTTGACATTTTACGCCTTGAGTAATTTATGTAAAACATGCATTTGTTCACGAGAAAAACTTGTATTTAAAGGCTGACTCAAATGGTATTTATGCTCATGGAACAATGCAGGAATTAATAATTAATATATTACCTTACATATGCAAAAAGGATGTAGATTGTAAATTTATTCCTTACTTTATCGAGGTGTTACGTCAATTAACCAGTTCTCTTCGGGTGTGCCTCCTCGAGTATTATTTACCAAAAAAAAATGCCAAAATTTCGATGTTTAATTTTAGCATGACATTTGAAAACAACGATTATTCATTAATGATGTTCTATAAATTTTGTAGTTAAGTGAAAACAATGTAAAGTAAATGACACCTTAACAAATAGTTTGTCTCTTAAAAAACTTCGTTTGATATTATTGAATTAATGTATATGTACATTAATACTAATAGTTAAGACGAACCATTTAATTTGTTTAATGCATCAAAATCTGTAAATTTCTGTAGCTTTTTACTATTTTTTAAACTGAATTATTGATCAGTTGATTTATTCTAAAAAAAAACAATTACTAAATGCACGGAGGTGTGAAAACTTGGAAAGGAAAGTAGAATGTAGTCAGACATTATTTTTTGTATACTGAGCACGAAATAAAAAATTAGGTTTTATTCTTGTTACACGTTCCCCGAAAGTTGAGGTCTAGAACACTTGCTACGAGGAAAATTTCCATTTTAAATTCCTTGCATAAAATTTCGCGTTATTCGAATGTAATTTGTGATTTTGAGTCCACAATTCGTGGTTTCTTGCTCGGAACTGCACGCTTATACCTCATTATCGTATTCGTAATTTCATACGACGACGTCAAACAGTTAAATGCGTTGACAGGTATCGTTTACAGTTTGGGCTACCGTGACTTAGCAAAAAAATGGGATTTTTTTCCAAGCATATATCATAGATTGTTTGAATTTGTGACTTATTTTAAACTGGGGAGTTAAATAGTTGCTCAATCTTTCTAATTTATCTGTGTAACCCATAAAAAATTCAATTTCTAGTAATTTGTAAAACGAAAATAACGATGTTTTTTTTTAAATAAAATTTCCTAATAAAAAAAAAATGTTCCATAGTTTTCTAACTGATATTATGAAAAAAGTGACACTGTATTTTGATCTACGAAATTCAATTTCAGTTCTTTTAAATTTCATAAGCTTGTACTTGGTAAAAAAAAAACACTTTTTCATTTCTGCTGAGCAAAAAAATGTATACCCAAAACAACAAAATTAATCTTAAGATTGACTTTGTTGACGTCATTGAATGTTTAATAAATAGTTGTGATCATTTTTCAATATTTTAGAACAACAAAAACGTACAAATTCATCAGGCTCTGTTTCAGAAGATTAATATAAATGTTAATCACATTACGCCTTGGAGAAAAAAGTGATGGCACCTCAATGTCAACGTATAGACGCAGGACAACAAGTTTTACTCAAAACATTGCACGCGTAGTTACAAATTATTGAAAATTATCGAGTGTAACAATCAGGAGTACTCGAAGGCTATGAATTAATCCATGATGATACAGTTATTACACCTCGCATCTTTGAAATTATGCAGGGGGTCAGTATCACACGCTCGTTTACGTAAAGGCGCAAAAAGCGTAATGTCTAAGGACATGTGTAGATTGTCGGTAATTTTATTTCGATATGCAAATGTGGAAACTGCAGTTGGCCTTATATCAGGTCGTCGCAACGCAACGTCGATAAGTTATTGACAGAAATCTTGAGGCTACGCATGTACACTACGATCTATGAATGAATTTTACATGATGCGTTTTGTGACCTTTTCCGGTAAAAAATAGTATCACCTTGAAAAAAAAAAAAAAAAAAAAAAAAAAAAATTATCGACAAGGCTCGCAACATGTGATGAAAAAGTAATGGACAATCGAGAAAATTTCATTCCCAGAGTAGGAAATCCGATAAAATTCATGCGATGGATCGAAGGTTGCATCGGAGTTATTTTCCAACGCAATTCAATCGAATGGAGCATATTTACGTATCCACTTGTCAAAAAATTTCCGCCAAGCTTTTCCAAATATCGAAAGCTGAGAACCAACCTGACAATGGTGATTCCCTGAAACTCCATTGAATTGTTTTAATGACTGCGAAATGAAAAAAAAAATCCTTAGCGAGGATTTGCGCACTTTTCCACGAACCATTTCGTACGAGATGCAAAGCCCCGCAAAAAATGGCACACAGTCGGGAACCCTTTCACGCACGTACCAACGAAAAGTTCAAACACCCAAATGTGTCTCGTTCAGCAGCCAGTAATCATCTCTCTCCTGGGAGTAAAAAAGATGAGCAAAAAAAAGAAGGAGGACGAGCGACGCTTAGGCGGGCGATCGAGAGACGCGCGCGAGGATCTTGCACTGCGTGTGTGCATACACGGGCTCTGAGGGGAGGGGGCTTAAAGCCGGACGCGAACGCGTGGACGGCTTCATTTTTGAGAAGCTGCCCGGACGAGCTGTGTCCACTCGAGCGCGGCAGAGGTGCCATTG